CCAGCCCAAAGCCAACAAGAAACACAGGGCTGTCCAGCCCAAAGCCAGCAACAAAACACAGGGCTGTCCAGCCCAAAGCCAGCAAAAAACACAGGGCTGTCCAGCCTAAAGCCAGCAAAAAACACAGGGCTGTCCAGCCCAAAGTCAGCAACAAAACACAGGGCTGTCCAGCCCAAAGCCAACCAAAACAACACAGGGCTGTCCAGCCCAAGGCCAGCAACAAAACACAGGGCTGTCCAGCCCAAAGCCAACAAAAACAACACAGGGCTGTCCAGCCCAAAGCCAACAAAAACAACACAGGGCTGTCCAGCCCAAAGCCAGCAACAAAACACAGGGCTGTCCAGCCCAAAGCCAACAAAAAAAACACAGGGTTGTCCAGCCCAAAGCCAGCCAAAAGACACAGGGCTGCCCAGCCCAAAGTCAGTAACAAAACACAGGGCTGTCCAGCCCAAAGCAAAAACAATTAACCCAGGGCTGCCAGCCCAAAGCCAGCCAAAAAACACTAGCCCAAAGCCAGCAACCCCAGACAACCCACATGGCTGTCCAGCCCACAGCCAGAGATAACTCAAGAACCCTATAGGGCAGTCCAGCCCAAAGCTACCAAGAAGCCCAGAAACCAACAAGAACACAAAGTTTTTTCAGTCAGCTGAGTAATAAGCTTTTTAAGTACACAGATATAGTCAAAAAACTTCAAGTTTTAAAGCTACTTAAAGGACTTTTTTCCTTATCAAATTTCAATCGAATTTTCAATCGAATTTTCAATCGAAAAATATGTTTTTTTTTCAATCGAATTTTCAATCGACAAGAACATGCCTCCACTTGACAAAGTATCATAAAATTCAAGTTTCAATCGACACTTGAAATTTGTTTTTTTCAATCGTACACTTGATTTTTTTCAATCGAGGATGCTCTGGGATGTGTGTCACTTCGCACAACTGTTGGCTATCCTCTACACCCTGGCTATCCTCTACAACCTGACTGTCATTTGGCACCTGGCTGTCAGCCTCATCATTCACACTGTCAATCAATGTCGACTGGCGATTGAAAAGAGATGTCTTTTGGCGCTTGGCAGGCGGTGGCGGTGGCGCGTCCATCAAGTCATCCACAACTTTGTTTCCTGGAATCAAGTTGCCACAGATGCGAACGACCCGACCAGGCCCTTTGATCTTCATCTCAAATTCCCACTTGTCATCAAGCCAGCATGTGCCAGTGCCATGAGCCTCAAGCTCACCAGTGGAGCAACACAGGGCTACCAACACACATGTCATCATCAATATTGTGAAAGCACAAAATTTATAACACCAAACCAAGAAACCCCTTCCTCCGCACTGACTTTGTATTCTCCAGGTTTCCATTGGAGTACTTGCAAAAAGTCCTTCTTGTCAATGTTGCGGAAGGAGGGATTTCCAGACTCATCCATGGTTGACACACTCAATGACATGGCCGCCAGGTGTCACAAAGGCATGTGTCAAGAATTGGGCACAAAAACACTGCATATATATTATACAAGCTCTGGTCAAGGCACTGCACTGAGCTTTGCAAAGACTTTGGGGATAATGGAAAGATGAGACAGTATGACATATTATGTTGTCCAGAGTGTGAAAACTCTAGTGACCATTCATCCAACGTCACCGCCAAATGCAAGATAGCCTGCCTTCACATGGATGCATTTATCATCATACCTCAGGCCAAAAGTTCAACAAACCACTGCAGCAAACACATGCGTACACTGATGGCATCAACTTTAGCTTTCCGAAACATGAAAAGACAAGCATCTCAGTGTCATTGCATTTTACAGTTTCACGCACACAAGCAGCAAGTCACAACTCAATGTAAAAGATAGACGCCGTCAATTATATCATTATCCAGGAAGTGTTTTAGTGTAAATTCTCAATGACATCATCAAATTGCAGATCACCTGAGAATGTGGCATGTCCAGGCAGCAATCAGCCTCAGAACAATTGACCATCAGTCATTGTGCGATCAAAGCAGGTAAGGATCAAGAGGCTGCCAACTGCCAGAACAATTGCTAAGCATTGTGTGTAAACTCATGTTTATTCTCACCCCTCAACTACTTCAAACTCAAACTACATGAAAGGGCCCATCACCCTCTACCTTGCAGAGTGCATTTAGCACTCCATCCACAAAGGATTTACACACATGATCTTTGTCAGTGTGTATGTGGACACGCAGGCCACCTGATGCTGTGGAGCCCACTGTTCTCGGCTCCACTCCCACCACACTTGTACAGGCATCAGGTGGCTCTTTGAACACATGGATGACATCAGGCACCAAATCAAATGGCACATTGTCATCCAACACTGCCAACTTCACAGTGTCATTGCCGCTCACATCCCCAAGCTCTCTTTTCACATGAGCAAGCTCTGCCTTTGACACTGTGTCATGTGACACATGTGACATCGTGGCATCATGCTCCTGCAAGATCAGTTGTCTTGGCATAACCTCAAACAAACAATGAATTTTGAACGCAACATGTACAATACAAGGAACTTTCACAGCAGCCTACCAAAGTTGTGTATGTGTCCTTCAGAGCCATGCTTGGCATCAAACACTGCAGGCCGGTGACAGCAAGATCCAACTGGCACAGGACAACTGTAATGCAAGCAAACCCCTGAAACACACCATATATCATCACTAAAGACTAAAGGTTTGTCCCGTTTTGCAAAGCCTCCTCATCTGTCATCTCACGGCCCATGCAGTGCTGAATCAGCGCGTCCACATCATCTGCAGCAAAGTGCATAAACAATAGGGCTGAGAACCAATCAAGAACCAGGAAGTGACAAAAGCTGTGCAAACACCACTTGACATATTACAATCAGCTATGATAAACAACCATACACATGTCCCTGCCATGTAAAACACATGCCTTGTGTCAAAGGCTTCTTGGAGGCCAGGACTTTCTCACTGACCGTGACCAAAGCAGCTCGCAGATCATCAGGCATGGCAGGGAGAGCAGGACGAGACATAGTGCCTTCTAATGTCCACTGACAGATGGCACCTGGACCTGTCACTTGCCTGGACCTGTCACTTGACACTCAATGGCCAGAAGCAATGCAACAATTCAATCTCAACTCAACTCTCACAATTGATAAATGTTGGTGCACATGCCGAAAGCCCAAGAACAACGCAATCATCTCATCTCAAAACAAAAACCACACTTCCACAACCTTTAAACAACATGTTGCTCAGACTGGATTGGTTCTCAGTTCTGGACACTAGGTGGGCAGGTAGGCGCACATCTTCTAAGCCTCATGCAGCATCCACGTTGACAAAGGCACTACATCAATGCATGTGTCATATGTCATGATGGTCATCCCTATGCTGCCCTAAATAGGTAGGGAGTAGAACACAGCGGGGGGGGGGGTTGGGGAACCTGCCTCATGGGGGGTGAGCACCGTTTTAAAGCCCGGCGGCTGTCGAAGTAATGCCGTTTTTGGGCCCGGCGGCCAATGCATCAGTTGATTCTATGGGGGTGGCCGTGACTTCCAGTGAAGGTCCAGTGAAAAGTGGTACGTTGGGGTGGTTGAATTCCGATGCAAAAAACAGCGCCCCTGTGACGGGGATCACACTCAGCACCCGAGTGGGACGGCTGAGCGAAACACACTCTGACATTGGTTTTCAGTGACTCTGTTACCACGTTGAGAAGGAAGGCGATGGAACGGCGTGGTGAAAGGTCCAAAGACTTGAAGGTGTTTTAACATTGAAGTTTCTCATCTGCAGCGGTGCGCCGACGACGCGCGCGGGCGGCGAGGGAAAGGGTTTAGGGGAAGTAGCATGAACCACCATGGAAACAAACAAAGAAAGAGTGGAGTGACAGCTTGTACAACAGTTCGGCAGGTACGTTTGCAGCCCCCACCAGTGGCCTCTTCGTTGGCCATCCGCCACTGGGGAGGGGGATGGCCCCCTGCCGAAGTTGGTTGATAACCCTTTGTCCAGGGGTGGACACACACACACCAGGCCGATACCGGCGCTCAAGAGGTTTAGTCGTCACCTAACAAGCCTTAGAAAGAAAAGAAAGAAAAAAGACAAACAGATAAAACGAAGAGGGCAAGAGAGAAAGATAAGTTACTGACTGCTTAGCGGAATGAATGAAGTGCAATAGTTAGCGAGCGGGACTTTAGTCTTAAACCGCCCGGGTAGGAAAGACTAGGGACAGGAGAAAGAGAAGGAAAGGCACCAACACACAAGTGTGTTGAGTGCGATTTCCTTCTGTTACCCTAATTAGAGGGTGGGATAAGAGGTGTGAATTCTCGTGCAAGGGTGGGGGGAGGGGGTGGCTCGAAGGCACTGCCGTACACGGCGCTCCCTTGACTAAAAGTTCACCTGAAAGGAGGTGAAAAAGAACAGTACACTCGCTTGAAGTCTCTGAAGACGCGCGTGATCATGTGGTGCTGTTCAGTAGTTCGATCTCATCCAAGCAGAACGAAAAATCACTCAGGATCCGAAAGAAGCTCCAGAAAGCAGGACGAGGAATCAGAGTGGGTCCCTTTTGACGTGTCTATGCACATGCTGCGCGATCACTGATCACACCACAGCCCTCAGTGGGACTTTGTGGCGGGACACACTTAGATTGATGCTCGCAAGAGCTGAAACAGTTGACGACGGCCCACTTTACTGCAATTAGACCTTTACACGCAATTAGACCTTGGCTGAGGGAACGGAAAGGTGAGAAAGTCCAGAACAACAGAACTGTTTTACTGTGGACAGCTTGAAAGTGGTTCAAACATGTGCTGCAGGTACGTCCAGCTGGCCAAGCTGGATGTCCCACCAGATTGTATAGCTTTGTTAGACACGGTCTTCAATCTGGTACCGTGTCCCCCTGCCTCTTTTTTCTTTCTCTCAAATGCTTTAAGACTTACAGTGTGTGAAAGCCTTAGAAACAGGCGTTGACACACACACACACAGAGGCAATATCCCGGTCTGAATTTCCACTAGAAAACCAAAGGTGTTCAAAAATGAGATGACTATTTTTGTAGTGAAATGTGGTTTGATGTTGTAGCACATGTTTTTGCCTCAGGTTTTTTTGGGACTCGCATGGAGAACTGAAAGGCTGATAATTACACAGCAAAGTAGGTTGATGCAAAAATATGGCAGTGCTTTTTCAACGCATTGATGCTATAGTATATAGAGCAATAAGTGACCTTTTCTAGAGAAAATTGAACATATACTGTCTCATTATTAATACTATTCGTGTCTCTGATCCGTTTGGCGTCTTTCCGATTTCTTTGCAGCGACTGTTCCAAAAAATGCTACTACAAAAACCCAGGGTGGAGTAACTCTAGCGCACATTCTGTGCAAAAATTTGAAGGACCTTTGCACCCCATTCTATATATCGTTGTGGTTGTGTGTTGCGGGTTTTCTTCGACGCTATATATCCTCTTCACTTTTTCCTGATGCTTCATACCACCATTCTGGTTACCTTCAACCCTGGCACTGTGCTTGTCACCTGACCTTTGTTTATCAGTCTATCAGTTTCATGCCTATGTTCATCCACACTGTTGGAATTGATCCTGCAATATCATACTTGTCTATTTTCCTCATTCCACAGTTCCACCTTGCTATCTTCCAACGCGCAGGAAGAGCAAAGTCTAATAGATGGAGTAGGCAAGCGTGGAGGAAAGCACCACCACACGCAAGAGAGCTGTGTTTGTCCTCCTGCTCAACCTTGCCTTGACTTGCTCTACCCTTTGTCATGCCATGTGTGCGTCGCTGCGCCGCTGCATGTTCCACCGTGTTTGTATACAGTGCGCTCAACTCAACCAGTCATTTGAAATTTGTCCATTCTACTGTTCCAGTGAAAGATGTCCTGATTCAAGGCCTTCACTCCTACTACGGTAGTACTATGTAGTACTCTTCATTTATCCAGTTTGTTCAACAAAAGGTTGTTTATCTATGTTGGTCATGTTTATCTCAAAGCTTTTCTCCTTCTACTACTCTCATTGCTTTCGGTAGTAGCACCGTGCGCCCAAAGTGGGCTGCACCCGTCAATGTTGAAGGTAACCATTGACGATGATCGATTCCATTGGTGCCTGGTATACATTACTTTGTGATTGCAGTCTTTTGATAGTAAGACATTTGCATGTAACGGTATGGTATGTTATGGTACGTATGTATGTATGTATGTATGTACGTATTTTTCCTAAAGTTGTTTTTGGTTCTCTGCCAGCTTTGTTTGGAGAGCCTGCATCTCTGTCAAGAGGTTGGCGTATTGGGCTTTGACTCCATCGATGCGGAGTTGTAACTGGTTCTTCTTGATGGACATGTTCTTGAGCTCGGAAACCTGTCCTTTCAATTTGCCAGCTATTTCACGCTCTGTGATGGGCTCTGGTGCAGTGAGCTTGGATACAATCTCTTGTACCTGAGTTGGCAAAGCGGCCATGTGGGTCTTTAGGACGTCTTGAAGAGCGGGTTCTTCAGGCTTAGCTGGGCCAATGCCAAGTGCTTGTAGCTTCGTTTGTGTCTCTTCAGACAGGGCCGTCCAGCTGTTGGCCAACAATTCAGTTGCTTCTTGCTGTGCCCTGTTCTTCTTGAGGGGCCGGAGTTTGGTGAGCCCCGGCGGAGCTTCCAGCCATGTCTGAGTGTGGTTTGGCCGGTTGCTGGGCTTCCCATAGCCTTTGCCTTTGCCGTTGTGGCTTGGTGGATCCGGCCACCAATTCCCGCACTTTCTGCACTTGGTGCCGCTACGAACTTTGTCCGTCCAGATCCAGTTCTCACAGGCGCTTTTGGAGCACACCATGAAAGCTCGTCCGCATTGTGGCGTCATTCTCCCTGATAGAGGGCAGCAGTAAGGTCTGCTTGATGGCAGTCAGGTGGGCAAACTGGGTTTCTCCGGACACGATCTGGCCTGTGATCTCTGCAGGAAAGAAGGACCAGGCACAAGGAAGAACTCAAAGTGGTAGCCACGCGAGAGACTGCCAGGTGCAGTAGGTCACCACAGGAGTGTCGAAGGTGTTCAGCTTATTGCGAGCAAAGAAACAAAGGTACTTCACAAAGTTCCTGGGCCTTGCTTGTTATCGATCTTCGTGCAACAGTAGCGCTAGGGATTTGTGCACCAGCCCGATTTCACGGGCCACGGGCTTGAGCAGCTTGTGGCTTGAACCATGTATGTATGTATGGTATGTATGTATGTGTGTATTAATGCAATGTATGTAATGTAACGATGTACGTTATGTTATGTATATAATGTTATGTTGTGTTTTGTTGTGTTTGTATGTAATGTAGTGTAATGTAATGTGATGTGATGTCATGTAAGAATGTAAGTTTGTATGTATGTATGTATGTATGTGTTCGGACCATGAAACGGCTACATTTTGCAAGACAAAAGGTGGTACATAAAGTTTTGAACGCATGTCACATGACTGTCGAATGACACGACGAAGGCAACGCAGAAAAAAACAAAAACCCACACCAAAACGGTTTGTTGTGTTGCTTTCCTGGGCTTTGCCGAACAACTGCCCCCATATTTTTCGCGCGGTCTCAGTGTATATCCATAGATATGTACATATATATATATAACCTAATTGTTTTTTAGGCAACAAACTGGCTGCTCCCAGGAAGGACTTCAGCTTGGCGATCAGTGCTTGTGTAAAGTCTGGCCTGTGGACAGTGGCGGTCGGCCTGCTTGATGGGATGCAGAACGCATCCATCACACCAGCAACAAAGCTGCAGTTTATCCTGTGGCAGTGGTGAGCCGGGAGCGTTGCGCCCTCATAGTTTTTGCGCACCTTTGTAAGGTTGCTGAGTGTTGTCAATTGCCGAGTCTCAGGACCTAAGAGTGAGCAATGCGCTCATCAAGGTCTTCAAACAAAATGGACGCTGGCAGCACGCGGAGCATATGCTTTTCCACATGCCAGCAGTTCCAGATGCGAGCAGTCTCCTTGACGAATCCGGTATTGTATTGTCGCATTTTGCTTTCAGAGTTGCATTGCAGAGAGAGCTTTAA